TCCTGCCGGAAAAAAGGAAGAATTTTTGTGGTGACAAAATACGGGTTGCGTATTTCAATCCAAGCTAAGTTTAACTAACAGAAATGGTTTGGTCTTTGCTGATGCTCTGTATTTACTTCCGGAGTCGTGTGGGCACTGTTTTTTTCTTTTTGGCGAACTATATTTGCTTTGTTTATACGCTATTGGAGGTACCTACCCTGGTGTTTTTTTCCTAGGCCTTGTAGAGTTACTGAGTTTAGAGATTTGTCTCGGTTTAAAGGCTCAGCTGACCATGAGATGCTTTTGCTCTTGTTTGTCGGTTGTTTTTCCTTTTTTAGATCCCCGAGCATTTTTGTCCGAAATGTGTTTCGACTTCATATGTCCGTGAGTTGTAATATGGTTGCTGGTTTTGTAGTGTCCAGGGAAGAAGAAGTGGGAGTTCCAGATAGCTTCTGCCTCGATCCAGTTGACTTGAGTCACTTCTTTGAGGAAGATGGAAAAATCTATGGATACCAAGGTCTAAATGTAAGGGACATAATTTACGTGCGTGATACTATGTGTTCATTGTTGTGTGAAGATGCATGAGTTGCCTGCTTTTCTTTTTTTTAACTTACCAGATAATGTGCTTTGCCTGTAGAGGGTTGACTTTTGTTTTATTTCTGCATGATCAAGCTGTGATTTATCTTTCATTATGTTTGCTGCTTTTTTTTTCTTGTTATATTTACATTTATAATCTAGTTTGGTTGTTGCTTGACAAGCTGCTCCCTTTGATGAGCTATGAGACAATAATAGTCTTTATCAGCTACTGAAGACCCTGGATACTGCAGTCTGTCTTTGTGCTTGAAGTGCAGTGATATCTATCAGTTGATATCCTTTTGATGGTTTTGGTTGACTGCTTCTGTAACATAAGTAAATATATTGAGAATGAGAAATTTTTTTTGGTCTTTTTTCTTGCAGCAATATGTTTCCTGGCTGAAAAAGGAGAATATCTCATCTTTGTGATTCTTTGAGCTTTTTGAAACATTGTGTGATTGTGTAGTTCTAAATAGTAGAAGATGACTCCACTTAATGCTTGTTGCACTCGATGCAGATATCCGTGTGGGTAAGTTGCGTATCGTTTCATGCATACGCAGAGATTGCTTTTGAGAGCAAATCAGATGTAAGTACTCCATCTACTTCTGCATTATGATCAGTATGCATTGCTGACTCTTTAGAGTTGTCAATAGAATGCGGGATAATGATGCTTTCGTCTTGCAATTTAGCTTTGTCTTTGTTTATGGTGACATGCGATATTTGTGGTTTTTATTTGTTCAAGGGAGGCAAAGGAATCACAGATCTGAACACTGCTCTTAAGGTACTGAATTTACTGGTTAAAGTGTTTTTGTTCTTTCCTCTTGACAACCGCTAATTGGTTGATCTTTGAATCAGGATATGTTTGGTGAAACTCTTGTGGAAAATAAAGATGACTTCCTTCAAACTTTTTCCAAGGAGACCCAATTTATTAGGTACGGGTTTTTTTTTCCGGTTATCTTATCTTTTTTTTTTTTTGGGGGGGGGGGGGGAGGTTAAAATTAGAACTTCATTCTTTATTTTCTCGGCTCTGGTTTACTGAGTGTCTTATTTACTTATTTGTTAAGTTATCATGTCGATATGACTTTTCTCAGGTCTGCATTTTCAGCTGGGGAGATTTTAGAGCATAAATACTGTGATGGTCATGTCAACGATTCCATTAGTAATCTAAAAGCAGTTAGTTCTGATGTGAAGGTGGGTTTAATTCTCTAAACGCTGATGCTGACTATGATAACACATGAAAATAGCCTTTAAATTTTCCATTTTCAGTGCTCATCATTATCATGCATGCATAATATGATGAACATGACAATCAACTTTCATTATGCTTTGTAATAGGTAAAGCCTACCTAATGAATGTGTTCATTTCCTACTGCTGCTAATTAAGATTTTCCTGTTTCAATACAAACCTGTCTTGGGAAGCAGAATTCCTCTTACGAGCAATCTCATCGTTGATTCTTTTAGTTGGTTGTACTATGAATGTCGGTAAATCGCAAGAAGAAATGTGCATTGTTTGCCTTATCATTGTAGGCTGATGGCTAGTCAACATTGTGAAAATCAAAGTCTGTCCTGCCCTTCTCTCTCTCCCTGGGACCGGGGAGGGAGTTGGATTTTTATATTGCCCATTTAACAATCTGATAAGTTTGACAGAGTGTTCTTGGAGGAGCCTGCTTTTCATTCTCCTGCTCTGCCTTTTCATCTTTCCTTTGTCTGATGCATTAGGTGTTCCTTTGTTTTTTTTCTCCTTTTGCACAGTAGGCAGTACTTGTTGAAAGGATCATGAAAATTGACTCTTCCCGCATGTCAGGTTGTGCGCATGCTGATGGGGGGCGATATGACGGCGGGACACCTGTATAGTCGGTTGGTCCCTCTTGTTCTGCTTCTTGTAGACGGTAATTCATTGACTTGTTCGAGGGTTATTTGGGTGTGCATGTGTTGCATTATATGTCAAGGGTAGAAATTTCCAATCCTGAGCAAGTTTTTTCTGATGAATCAGGTAGCAATCCTATTGACGTAACTGATTCAAGTTGGGAGCTGTATCTTCTTATTCATAAGACAAGTGATCAGCAAGGCAATTTTCAAGATAGGCTTCTTGGTTTTGCTGCTGTGTACCGTTTCTATCGCTATCCTGATAGTTCGCGACTGCGGCTGGGTCAGGTTTGCTTTCGTCTTGGTTAGCTATAAGAAAGAAGACAAGTTTCCAGTGCTTTAGAAGAGCATGTAGAGTGTATTCAAACAGTTAGTTTGTATTGCTCATGAGGTCTTTTGTCAATGTCAGATTCTAGTATTACCACTTTACCAGCGCAAAGGTTATGGCCGCTATCTCCTGGAGGTGCTTAACAATGTCGCAATAGCCGATGGTGTTTATGACTTCACAATAGAAGAGCCAGTGGATAATCTTCAGCACTTGCGAACATGTATCGATGTGAAACGGCTTCTGAGCTTTGACAAGGTCCAGCAGGCAGTAAATTCAACAGTATCTCAGTTGAAGCAAGGCAAACTATCAAAGAAAACCTACATCCCTCGGTTGTTGCCTCCTCCTAGCGTGGTTGAGGATGCCAGGAAGCGTTTCAAAATCAACAAGAAACAGTTTCTTCAGTGTTGGGAGATTCTGGTCTATGTTGGGCTTGATCCAGCCGATAAGAGCATACAGGATTATTTTTCCGTCATTTCAAACCGTGTCAGGGCCGACATCTTGGGAAAAGACTCTGAGACTGCCGGGAAGAAAGTGATTGAAGTACCGAGTGATTTTGATCCAGAGATGTCATTCGTCATGCATAGGGCACAAGCAGGTGGTGAAGCTAACGGTATCCAAGTGGAGGACAACCAGAACAAGCAAGAAGAGCAGCTGCAGCAGTTAATTGATGAAAGACTGAAGGACATCAAGCTGATTGCTCAGAAGGTATCTCGGAAATGAGCGCAGAAAAGGTCGTGTAATACAAATGTTGTAGCCCTCGGGATGGAATTAACAGAGGTCCTGTAGATGACTGAGGTGGGCATTGCCCTTTTAGCTTATGATTTGAGAAACCCTTGCTAGCCGCAATTTGCGGATCATGACAGCGTAGTTTTGCTTATGCTCAATCCCTAGTTTTGGATCCAATGTCAGGAGAGGTAGATCGTTTCCTGGTTTTACACTATCGTGCGGGTCCAGGGAAGAAGCTGCATTCACGGTCCTGTCATTTTCAAGTGCCCGTGTCTCTCTTATGTCTGGCTTTTATCTCCTAAAGCTTGTTACAATTGTAACCCGCATCGAATCGGCGTGTTGAAATTTGTTAAACAAATGAGAGGGAGGCACACCACCCTTTTATTGACTGGTAGCGCGAGTTCTTCTGACATTTCTGCAGTTGAAGAAGACGATATGCGTGCGTCTCTATTGAGAAATCCTTAGATGGCGGGTCTCCAAGAACCAAAACGACTGAGCTGAGGGAAAGCCTCATGCACCTCTACCGTTCCCATCAAAATTGTGTGCAAAACAGATGCATCAAGATGCAGAGGATGAAAATGCTTATTACTCACAAATTTGTGTAAGATAGCACGACGCAATTGCTAGTCAAGGTAACCTAATGGATTTGGCAATCGACAAAGTTCTCAGGTAAGGGATTAGACAAAGAAAGTCAAACTCAACAGACGAAATACTCAGTTCAGAATTACTTGTCCAAGTTTGTGATGTATCCGAAGCTATTGGAAGTACCTGGAAGATTCATGATCAAACCCGATTTGCAAAATTCACGACAACGATGGACTCAAAGCGAACGACAAAGTGATTAATCAAATGATTTCTCACTCGAGTCTTTATTACACCGTCGCTTACCCCAAAGTGGTTAATAAGAAGTCGCCCGTCTTCTACGTCGTGGACAAATGAATAGCTCATGTTACGTTGATGAGCACGCTAAAATTCGGACAGCTGTTGGTAGTGCGGAAAATAAATATTTCTTAATTTGAAATTTCCGTAACGGGTGCAAGACTTTTATAGTAATATTCATAATAAATTGAATGATAATAGCGCGGGTCGTCCATTTTAACCTTCTTTTTTATTTCCTTGTAACCAAAATTAAAAAAAAAAATGGGGGAGAAAAAGGCCCCAGAAAGAAAATGAAAGTCGTTTTTTCTCTGAACCAATAAGGCCAATTCCTAAAAAAAAGCACTAATTTTATGTTCAATGACAATTTTGATCCGAACTTTTTTTGCCTCATAAAAAATCATCAATTTTTATTTAAATCCAAAATTCAGCACGAACAATTTAAAAATTTCACATAACGGGGGCAAATTTGAAACTCGAATAAAATTTTGTATTTAGTTCAAACCAAAATTATCACTCAAAATAAAATTATGCTTTTTTTTTTTAATTAGCCCCAACCAGTACTATCACCCGTGCCATCCCATCCCATGCCCATTTTGAGTAGTAAAAAGCAAAATCCCCAGGACGCAAACGGCAAATCAAAATCTTTCTCTGCTTGAAACCAAGTCCGAAAACAGTCGCCAGTACGCGCGCGACACACACACAGCGAGCGAGAGAGAGCGAGCGAGAGGCGCCATGGATTTGCTCCCGGCGGAGACGTCGCAGCTCGGGCGGAAGCACGGCTTCCGGTCGCTGAAGCTGGCGGCCGTCGACATGGGCGACGCGCTCGGGGACGAGCCCTTCGGCACCGAGCACGGCCGGCTCGACAACGGCCTCGCTTACTACGTCCGCCGCAATTCCAAGCCCAGGATGAGAGCCGCCCTCGCTCTCGTCGTTCAAGTTGGGTAAGCAACCGTGCTCTCGCGACTCCTGTTTTAACCGCTCCTCTTTTTCTCCGCTATCGGAACAGGCGATTCGATCGGGGAAGGGAGCTTGCGATCGATGGTGTAGTGTTAGCGCTTAGAGCGAGCTTTTGAGTGGTGCATTCGAGTTCGATTGTGCGTGTTGACTGAGTTACGAAGTGAACTGTCGGAGTTTGACCGAAGAGGCTGTGGAGTAGCGGAATCGGTTTGCAAAATGAGATGCGGCGAGGTGGAATAGAATTGTGAAGTGGCATCAGTTGAAGGACTGCTTCGATATTTAGGGGGGTTTTTGTTTTTTCGGTGAGGGAGACAGAATGTGTCATTTGTTGAAATGGTTATAGCGAAACCTTGTCTAAAGAGAATGGTGGAATGTACGAGAATAGCCACTACTTTTGGAAGATCTGTCTGCCTGTCACTCTCCCACGAGGCTATGCTTTTGTCGGGCTTGTGCTGGTAAGGTCGGGTCATTAACATATTTGCATGGACGAGCAAATCCAAATTTGTGACTCATCCATCCGAGTCTCTTATATGAAGTGTCGGTACGTGTCATCTGGTTGACAAGTCAAAACTCAGGCGAAACCGATGCCTGAATAAACTCGTGGTTAAGGTGATATGGTTTAAGCCCAATTGTCACGCAATTATATCAGAGTTGTTGGCATGGAGACCACATGCATTGCGTCTTGTGTGTCTTTCATACCTTGAAGCACATGTGGTAGGTGTGGTTCTATTAATTCGGCATTTTTCGTTTATGCTATTGATGAAACAGCTGAGTCTTGCTACCATTACAGACTCAGATTACAGAACCTGATGACAGTCTAGGATTCCACCTTCATTGCCAGTATCGGTTCTTAACTATAAAGAAACAATGGGGGGTGTCTTTTATCTAGCCATTAGTTACACTTCATGCATTGCTTATTTCTTTGGTAAAACATCCTGTTGGTTTGACAAAGAGGATAACCTATTGTGTTTGCGGCAGCTCAGTCTTGGAAGAGGATGATGAGCTCGGAGTTGCTCACATAATTGAGCACCTTGCTTTCAGTGCCACTAACAGATATACCAATCATGATATCGTGAAATTCCTAGAGAGTATCGGAGCAGAATTCGGTGCTTGTCAAAATGCTGTAACATCTGCTGATCAGACCATATATGAGTTGTTTGTTCCTGTTGACAAGCCTGAGCTGCTGTCTCAGGCTATCTCTATATTGGCAGAGTTCAGCTCTGAGGTACCAACAAAACTTGATAGTTTGATAGTTATTGGCTCTCTTGATTTATTCGGCATTAATAGTTGTGGACTTCAGGTTCGAGTCTCAAAAGATGATCTGGAAAAAGAACGAGGAGCCGTCTTAGAAGAATACAGAAGTAACAGGAATGCAACTGGAAGAATGCAGGATGCTCATTGGCTTTTGTTGATGGAAGGTTCAAAGGTATTTCCATGTAATCAATCAAATTCCTATTGCTTTCTATTCTTTTTTTACTAATATTTCAGTGACTCTTTGCTATACTGCACTTTTTTACTCCGGCAAACGAGAGTTTGTTTGAAGAATATACTTCTAATATCTCTAAACTCTTTCTAAAATGGTAGAGAAGACTTGTTGCTCTAGCCTCTAGGATGGCCAGATTAAAAGATGTTTTTATAGCCATGCTTGTGGGTGGAAATTACGAAGGATGTGTTTTTGCATCGCTTTTGAGTTCAGTTCGTGGTAGCCTTCTATTACCTTGCCAAATTAATAGACGATCAGGTAGAAGTCATTTCAACGGAAGTAGCATGTCTATTTGCCTTTTTTATCCCCTCTTTCTGAGGTGGGGCGTGCTATTTCCCTTTTTCATTCTATCTTCTTTGGAATTTTTTCTGTTTCCCTGTGTTTTAGTGAAGCTGCAATGCAAGAGTAGGACTGTGAGGTGATTAGAATTTGAAAAATCGCCTGTGATTGTAAATTTCTAAAGGTTAACTAAAGGAAAAGAAAGTTTCCCCAAAAGTGTTGGCATTTAAAGTTACAGAGGAAGTTATATTGGCTGATGAAAAATTGAAGTTTACCTCGGCGAAGTTGCATAGTTTGTGGTTTACAATTGGAATCGGGATAATGCAGTATGCAGAGCGCATACCTATTGGAACAGAAGCGGTGATTCGAACCGTCTCTGCTGGGACTGTGAAGCAGTTTTATCAGAAATGGTACCAGTTATGTCATATGGCAGTTGTAGCTGTTGGAGACTTTCCTGATACTCAGGTTTGGTGTCATTGCATATCAACTTTCCATGTTTAGTTTCCAAATTTCCAGGATTTCTAAAGCTCTCCTTCTCCACTCCATTGCAGAGTGTAGTTGATATGATAAAGACTCATTTTAGGCAGAAAGGTGCAGTGCTTGACCACCAACCCATTCCTACCTATTCAGTTCCATCTCATGACAGACCACGATTTTCATATTTTGTTGAAAGTGAAGCTGCTGGGGTGAGTGCGTGCTTAATTTTCTCTTTTGTGCATGATATTAGCCTTTGTTTGTTATCCTGGAAGTGTTTCTTCATGACTAGATAAGCTTGATGTGTATTGGTGCAGAGTGTGGTAATGATCAGCTACAAAATGCCAGTTGATGATTTAAAAACCGTGAAGGATTACAAGGACTTGCTCACAGAATCTGTGTTTCTTCATGCCCTAAACCAAAGATTCTTCAAGCAATCTCGGAAGAAAGATCTGCCCTATTTCTCATGTTCAGCTGGTTCAGATGTCTTAGTTCGTCCACTAAAGGCCTATATGATAACAGCATTGTGCAAAGAAGGAGGGACCATAGGGGCTCTAGAATCAATGCTCATGGAGGTCAGTTTCTCTTAGGTTAATAAGCTTCTTTGTTGTTTGTCGTTTTTCAGCCACACATATGTTTCAGGTGGCGAGGGTGAGAATCCATGGTTTTTCAGAACGCGAAATCTCTATTGTTCGAGCTTTGCTATTGTCGGAGATCGAATCCGCTTATCTGGAGCGTGATCAAACGCAATCAACCAGCTTGCGAGATGAATTGATCCAAGTATTTCCACGACCCATAATCTTGATAATGTCATTAATTAGATTTATTAGTTTTAGAAATGATTAATATTTACATATAAATGTGCAGCATTTTTTGCGTGGTGAGCCTGTAATTGGTATTGAGTATGAGGCACAACTCCAGAAAACTATCTTACCCTGTGAGTCATCATAACCATCTAATGTAGTTTAGTGCTTTTCCATACCAGAGAAAATAGAGGTTCTGAGCACTGACTAAGTTCTTTTGTACTTCTAGATATTTCATCATTAGACGTATCAAAATATGCGGAGAAGCTGCTTACCTCGAGCAGTTGTGTCATTAAGGCCGTTGAGCCTCAAGTATTTGCAAAGGTGGACGATCTTAGGAGTGTCGTATTGAAGGTCAACTCTCTAGAGGAGGCAAAACAAATTCCACCATGGGATGAAGAACATATTCCAGAAGAGATAGTCCCCGTGAAGCCAAATCCGGGGTACAGTTTGGCCAATAGTCTCTTCTTGTACTTGTCCTTGCCTTTGGAAGTTTTAAAATCATAAATTTTCTATATCTAATTCATGCATATCCTCCAATCATGTTCCTATCTTATTCTATATGGTTATCGTTTACTCTCTTGTATGTGAATGGTAGATATGGATTTTACTCTCCCAAATGTAGTTTCAGCTGAGTCAAACTTTAGGCAATGAACATGTAAAATAAAATTCAACGGAATTTCCTCAAATATTGATAACTCCGCTTGTGGAGATCTTCTTGCTGGTTTTGGGATGGTTGTGCTATATAACTAGAGGTCCACAAATCACTCATGGAACATCTAGGGATAGCGCAGCCAGCTATCTTATCATTGCATGTCTTGAGCCTAGCTCATGATTTGTGGCATAAAATTTAACTATTATCTGTCAGGTATTTGGCTATTGAACTTGTCAGATTACAGTTATCATGATTATTTCCATTTCCACTATGGTCCTCATCCGATCAAGATATGATTAACAACAACTAAAGTTCTTAAGCAATTATACACATATTTTAACTGCTCCTCAGACCTCCATTGTGATTTCCCTTGTTTTTATTAAATGAACTGTATTCTGTAAATCAATATCTTCTAGAGTTCTACTTCTATCAACATGGAAACACCTCAAACAGTGATTTGTACAGACGACATTGTGATTGACTATTATGAATCTTGAAAAGTGCTGATATTGCTGCAAAAGCATCATGCAGATTCTGTGACAGGGTTAAACTACCTATGACTGATTTCTTCTTATTCTTCTGTCAACTTTATAGCCAAGCATGTTCTCTCAATGGGTTATTCAATCAATCTAGGTGGACAATTCTTTTGGGAACATTAAAACTTTAACCTTGTATGGCCAGAAAAAAAAAACATTAACTTTGTAAGGATGTTCTTTTCAGCTATAGTGCCCAGCAGCTTGAATACTCAAACATCGGAGCCACTGAATTGATCCTATCCAATGGGATGAGAGTATGTTATAAATGTACTGACTTCCTTGATGACCAGGTAAAGTCTGGACTTCTGTGCCTTGTTAACTCCTCATTGTGAGTAGTCTACATATACAATCTTAGGGTAGTGCATCGTGAAAGTTATGATATATTTCTAAATAGTCATCCTTTTCCTATTCTATGAATGGCATTCATCAGATTATGTACACTTCCTTGTGAGGAAGGGGCTGTCAGAGGCAGAGAGAGAAACAAAACATGGACTTCACCAGTCCTGCTATCTTAAATCCCTGTGCATGCATGTATTATCTGCTTAGTTGTAGAGCAGTCAAAATATTTAAAATTTATAATCCTAATATAGATTTGGGTCATGAGATAAACGTGAGTACTGTTGGGCTCTTGAAAAGATGTGTGTCTGGCACCTTTAAGAATTTCTTTTCTACCAGAACTGATGAAAATAGGCTTTGATTGGAAAGGAGTTATGATAACACCAAATGCATATAGCATGGCATCATATGTGTGAACAAGCATACTTGACATACATCTTCATGTCGTTTATTTCCAGTTGTTTATCATTGTTCAGCCATAGGTTTGTCTGTTGCTTGCTTAACTCAAAATCATTTTATTTTGGAGAAAGTTAGTTGTAAGCAGTCTAACCATCTTGGTTGTATCTGGAGGTCAAGTTTTCAAAGATCTTCTTAAGCCTTTGTTGCTGCAGGATTCTCAGCTGTAGAATCTATTGATCATGCCCAAAAAAATTCTAGCTGAACTTGAAGGTGCCAATGTCTCCTTGGTTTTTTTTTATGAGTACTAATATTTGGCTTTCCGGAAAGCTAGAGAAAGTTGGTTTCTATCTTAGATTTGAAATTATCAAAACGTTTAGTTCCTACTTCGTGAACCTTCTCATTGAACTAAAGATGGCATAAGTAGCGATAACTGGTTCATTGCTCGCTTAGGTGAAAGAACTAAGTGATTTGTTGCCTGTGCAAAGGGTTATCTGATGGAGCAAACTTATTCAATGTCAACTCCTTAGTTAAATCTATTTATAAAGTGAGTGAGGATATTCTTCTTCTTCTTTTTTTTTTTTCATATTTCTGATACATATCATCATGTATGATGAGACATTTTGCAGAAATCATGAGATTTTTTGTTTTCTGCATTCTCTTAATTTTTTAACCTAGTACATTGATAGTTCTGCACTACAGGTCCTGTTTACTGGTTTTTCATATGGGGGTCTATCTGAAGTACCGGAGAATGAATACTTTTCATGCTCTATGGGATCAACGATTGCTGGGGAAATTGGTGTATATGGCTATAGACCTTCTGTACTAATGGATATGCTTGCTGGTAAGAGAGCTGAAGTTGGTACAAAGATTGGAGCTTATATGAGGTCTTTTTCTGGGGATTGCTCTCCATTGGACCTGGAAACTGCTCTGCAGGTTTGACTTAGTAATTTTATCGTCAGGAATGAAGAATCCAGTCATGTCATTGTTACATAAAGTAGTTGTATATCCAGGTCTTCCAAAAGATCAACTGTAGGTCTTAATTTGTCCGTCCGTTTTTCTGTTGATTTTTAAATAGCATAAACTTGGTTAGACTGCAGGAAGAGATATATCCTTCTAACCTCAGTTTATCTCTTTAATATGCTTATCTCATTTTCATAGCATTGTTAAACCGTGTTCCTCATACTTTCCTTGACATTGCTCCCTCTCCCTCCCTCTCTCTCTCTCTCTCTCTCTCTCTCTCTCTCTCTCTCTCTCTCTCTCTCTCTCTCTCTCTCTCATCTGAATTAATTGGGTTGGACTCTATACTAGTACTAATTCCAATCTAATTGTTCAATTAGTGAAAACCTACTTGGTGCTATTAGCAAGAAGTGCATGTTAACAGACAGCAATTACCAGTTTATTGATAAATGATGAATATTTCATCACGTTATAAAATGTCATTTTAATTATATCCTATCAACACCATAGATCTGCATCTTGCCATTGTTCTGGTGGCCCTAACGGTATAAAGAATGCTATTGGCCCGATCCCACAAAGATCTCTATGTATTCTAGGATAGCGCAACTGAGAGGAAAATGCTTAGCCAATTCCATGTGTCTAACCAAAAAAATCCATTTTTCTTCCAATTTTACGATCTTCCCAATCATTACTCGCGAGTCTTTCTTCTCCTAATTCCGTTCATTCCAATTCCTTCCTGATACATCCCAAGGAAAATCCCGAATTGGATTCCAAATTGACTGGTTAGTTTGAGCTTTTGCGTCATCTCCTTAAAGCATGCATCTTTAGATCTGTCTCGAGGCTCCTAAAAGGAATAGAAAGAACAATTCTAGGAAGGAAAGAAAAAAGATAGAGAGGAGGACCGCAGAAGATTTGTGAAAGACTTTAGAGTTGTCAAAAAAGTTATGAAGCCATATACTAGAAGAAAGATCATTATATTGCTGGGAATCCCTCAAACACAACCTAAAAGAGTGAATCTCATTCCAGTTTTGTGGCAATTGGGCCCATGCATCTTTTATATCTGCACATTTGGATCAACCGCTAATGTCAGAGAAAATGTAGATACAGATAGTCTGCATAAATACAGTATCACTCATATGTAGGTGAAGTCATAGAGTATAAGTATAATTGTCACTAGAAGAACAGACAAGCTGTAGCGCTCTCCTACCACAACCAAAGGTTATCAAATTATGAACCAAATATTAGATAAGATGATGTGGCGCCCTCAACAGCAGCATCTGCTTGTGATTTTATTCATTTCGAGATTGGTGTTTGAGATCTTTCTGTGATTTGGGTTTGGTAGTCTTCTAGAGCCCTAACCAGCAAGAGTTGCGATGCCTTGTTTGCATCATATGTAGTCGATTGGGCAGCCTTATCTCTATTTTGATATCTGCTGACATAGAATCTACAGGATGCCCGTGTTTTCACCCTATGTTTCTTGCAAGGATATGATTCTCTTAATTGAGTATCTAGCTGCCTGCAGTTTGGACTTATTTGAATGAGGATACCCTATTTCGACATGTGGAAATTTGCTTTCATGTTTTCTTTGAATATTACTCAGTACCTTGCATTTGCATTTTACATGTTGCCACTGCTGTTCAGGTGTTCAATATTGAGCTCTTCATTTTGAAATTGGCAGCTTGTTTATCAACTATTTGCTACCGTTGTGGAACCGGGAGAAGAGGATGTCAAAATTGTCATGCAAATGGCTGAAGCAGCAGTTCGTGCTCAAGAGAGGGATCCTTATACTGCCTTTGTAAACCGTGTGAGAGAGCTCAATTATGGAAACTCGTACTTTTTCAGGGTATGCCTGGAATCATGGTTTTATTTCAGTTTTGATTCTAAGACGGTTATTCCAAGGTCAGAAATGAGCTAAAATTTTTCTCTGCAGCCCATAAAGATAAGTGACCTCAAAAGAGTAGACCCAAGGAGAGCCTGTGAATACTTCAGTTGCTGTTTTAAGGATCCATCAACCTTTACAGTTGTGATTGTTGGCAGTATAAGTCCTATAATTGCTGTCCCTCTGATCTTGCAATATCTGGTAAGTAATTTTTGCAGCTTATGATTTCGCAATCACTAAAGATTTAAAAGCCTTCTGATTATTGTGTTCTGATTCTTCATATAGGGTGGAATTCCAAGGCCTCCTGAGCCAATATTAAGATATAGCCGTGATGACCTCAAGGGCTTGCCAGTCACTTCTCCTACGAAGAGTGTCAGGTGGGCTCTTCAGTTATCATGTCACCCCTCCCACCAGAACAAGAAGGGGGGAGATTAGGATCTCTTTTTCTTTGAGAACTGGTCAAATTTGAAGTATTAAGGACCTTGTGAAATGAGTCTGGAAATGAAATACCTGTCACATCTCCACCCTATCCTACTTTCTTTTAGTTTTAGCTAGTGCCCTTGCACTCCACTCTCTCTTAGCATCTTTGAGAATACTTAAAAGTCAGTTCTCTATATCCATCATCCTCTGTATCTTTCATCCAATCTTGCTTTTCATATGCAATAGCAATTTGGTATGCTTCAGTAGGAGTGAAATATGTGGATGGGCTTCCAGTAATTTTCTTCATGGTGAAGCTTAATTTACCTGTTCTGAATTCTAATACAATAAAAAATTTAATTTATCTGTTCTGGATTCTGATACTCTACATACCCTTATAGGGAAGTTGTTAGGAGTCCCATGGTGCAAGCTCAGTGTTCTGTGCAGATCTGCTTTCCTGTGGAATTGAAAAATGGAACAATGGTATGTGGTTCCTTGTGATCGAATTTTCACACCTTATGGATGAGAGGGTTGCCATGCTTTTTTGACCAATTTCTGTTTGTACTACTGTCTAAAACAAATTGCGAATGAAGGTGGAGGAGATTCACTCTATCGGATTTTTGAGCAAACTTCTTGAAACAAAGCTAATGCAGGTTCTTCGTTTCAAGCATGGGCAGGTATTTACTGTGCGGGCATTGTTTTCACCATTCTGTTCTTTTGGCTGTTATTTAGTTCTTACCATTATGTACAGATCTATTCCACTGGGGTTTCAGTATTTCTTGGCAGTAATAGACCTTCAAGGACTGGCGATGTACGTGGCGACATTAGCATTGATTTTTCTTGTGATCCAGAAATCTCCTTGAAGCTGGTAATTTCCATTTCAATTCTCTTTCTTGCTTTTGCTGGATCTAAGAGGTTGATGCCCTAGTTTTAGCTCATTTTGCAATGTGTCTCGACAGGTTGATCTCACTTTGGACGAAATACAACGTCTTCAAGAGGAAGGCCCATCAGAAGAGGATGTTTTGACAATTCTGGAGATAGAACAAAGAGCTCATGAAGATGGAGTGCAGGTAAAAGTGAAATTCTTCTTTGAGATTCTGCATTCTTTATGATCATGATCTATCAGTATATTGGAGCCATATGAATTTTCACCATTGATCCATTTCTGGTGTTTTCTTTTTCAGGAGAACTATTACTGGCTGGACAAAATTTTGCGCAGCTACCAATCAAGAGTTTATTCCGGAGATGTGGGCACTTCGTTTAAGGTGAGTTATTGGGGTCATCCTCTGCCTTTTTATGTCGTTTTTCCATTCTGCATCATTCATCGCGCCGTGTGGTTTCTGTGCATACGTTTCATTTGGTCATGTAGCACTGAACTACAATTTTATGAGGCTTGAAAATCCATGTGAAAATTGGAACCCCTGCAGTATCTATTCAATGACGTTTTGTAGGATGAAAGAACATAAATATCCAACGATGGAAGCTAATGCAAATTAGTTGGACGATCTTGCTTGGACTATTCTTCTTAATACATTTGTAAAGAAGTATGAACATGAATAAGACTGTCATCGTTATATGCAGTATATAGAATTTTACCTTCTTATTCTGTCAAAGGTCAAAAGTGAATATTCAACTATAAATTTCACACGATCAATATTATGTGATTGTCAGAATATCGGATCCAAAAGTTTAAATTATTAGGTAGAGGTAGATTGCACGCCTATAAATACCAAGCGAATAAGCGATGTAGAATACTACAACACCCTCTCACATGCAAATCGAATTGAGAATAGCACGTGCATGTGAAATAAATTTTGGGGAAAAGTGGCTGTGATAATATGGTGAAATAGCCAAACTAAAAGCTTAGATCATTTGGTGGAGCGAGACTGTACGTATATAAAACCCACCAAACCCCATAGACAAGTGCTGTAGGATACTTAAATAACAATGTTACTTAATCTTGTAGTAGAAGAGGGACAGCTTTGACGGTATTTCTAATGACTCGTCCCATTCTTTCCATTTCTGGTGCAGGTTCAAGATGAAGGACGCTCAAAAGTTAGAGCATCTCTTACACCATCCACAGCCCAGTCGGCTTTACAAAGAATACTACCTTTTCCTTGTAAGAAGCAGCACACAGTGGTGATTTTGCTGCCGCAAAGGTCTCGCCTCGCAATGTTAAAATCACTATTCGGGTTCTCTCAGACCATATACAGAAGAGATGCAAAGGTCAGTTGCAATTAGCTTGACAGTTCTCGCCACTTGTGAATTAGCTACATCCTATAGATTTATCGTTTCAACAATCATCCTAGGAACTTCTTATTTTCCCTCATCGCTCTCACTCGTTGATCAACTCTCTCATGTTCTCTATCAGTTAGCCAGTCCTCGGTCCTGCAAGTACTTTGAAAAAACTATATAATCCAAAATTAGAAAATATATTTGACATTTGCAAACTATAGGTCATGACCGCCTTTTGTAGTGTTGCATTGGTTTAAGCTCCTCATCATTTATCAGCTTCTTTTTTTTTTCATTTGAGTTCATCTTTTACTTTTTAAGAAGGTAATCGTGGGTATTTGGGTCTTATGCAGATTTTAGCAGGTGTCGCTGCTATGGCAGTCTTGGCTCTGAGTTTGTGGAGATACTCGCGCCGCTCTGTGAAATCGTAGGAGATTTTTTTCAAGTTAAAAGTCGCATAGGACTTGGCTCATTCAGTAAGGTACAGCTCATAATACTTCGAGATGTCAAACTTTACTAGTGTAGAAACACTAGTTGATAGAAAGAAAAGGTAAATCTCGGGCGCTTTAAAGTTACTTTCGAGCCTGCCTTCTTCATCTGATCGGCCCCTGTTTTATGAACTCAGAATCATTAAACAACATGTCTACCGTTTCTGAACAAGACAACTGAAGAATTCTACTGAAAAATCACTAAGATTTCCGAATTACTGCATATTCTCCGGAGATTTTGATTCATATTGGTGAACGATTGTCGTGGCCTTCAGCTACGGGGTCTGCTGCTCTTGAAAATCATTAGATTTATCCGATGAAGCTCACAACTGTTGTACGTAGTTTATACATGTATTAGGATGGTTGCTTCGACTGTGTCGATTGGCCTTGCCGGTTGTTCGACTAGGGAGTTCAGACAATTGCTTGGCCACATCCCTCTCTGATTTGCGTATCGATCGAGCCACGTGTCGTGTGAATAAACCCATCATTAATGACCTTTTTTCTTGCCATAGAAATGATTGATTAATCTACTTATACGTTGAATTGCAATTAATTATCCTAATCTTTAGTCCCCATTGATCCTTAATATCCATTCAATTGATCCATGTGTTTCAGGAATGAGGTCTTTTTGTTCTCCGTTGGCTGTAGTATGGTCCATTTATTCTGATATAATGATTACTAAACATATTATTTTATACGAATTTAGTTATGTCCAAGTATAAATCGATTTTCGTATTAACCAATGTTTTCCTTGATTTATATGAAAAGAAAGTTCATCCATAGCATGGGCCAAAATTGCTAGTTGCAATTGCAGTCATGACCGGTGGTTCTGCGCATGAGGATTTTAACCGTGATTGAAAAAATGTGCATTGTTGGATGTTGACAAGATAAAACTTTTCTAGTTAGTAGCTATTGAGATGATGAAAATTATTTTCTGATATGAAGAATTTCTAATACGTCAAGAAGTCACTAATTACTAATAAGTAAATATTCGGTCTTTTTTTCTATATCAAAAGTTATTAACAAAACTACCATAGAGTTGCCTTTGCCAAAACTATAGACGAGTCAAAAGTGATTTGGGAACTAACTAACAATTTGGGACAAAAGTAGTCATAAATCCCTGGGAAAAAGTACTACTTCGATCTCTCGGGGTTTAATTAGTTACTCAACTATCGAATTTCAATCACATGGCGACGTGACGTTATTTTAAGAACGAGTGCATTTTCTATTTAACTTTGTCTAAATAATTAATGATTCACTCTGCCATTTCCACTCGGATCCAATAGGAGGCGACTATACAACACCATGGTGACTGCCCGAGCTTCGACTTCCACTTCTCCAACAATCTCGAGATCTTCAGCCACGAGCCTTCTTTTACCAACGAGCTGAGCTCTTCCTCGACGTCAAGATCCTTCTTACCTTGTAAATAAAAAAAAAAAACGCAATCCTCCTATCAAACTTAAGCAATTAATCAAAAATTATTTTACAGCTATCGTATTATGCCTGATCAGTATTTTGAAAATTGCAGCGTTTCCAATTAAGTACGCTTAATTAACAATTGCAAGGCGGGGGCACTCGATGAGGTTAAAAAGCTGAGATGCGTATTTACGAAACGGGGCATGCTATGGTGGAGTTTATTACGGAATGCCACTAGGGTTTTATTAGCCTTCCCCCTACCTTTCTTCACTCCTCGTCTCCCTAATCTCAGCATCGCCTTCGCTTCGCCCTCGCCCTCTGCCCATTGGCGCCGTAAGAGCTCTCTCTCTTTCTCTCTCTTTCTCTGGGTTGCTTGGAAGCCGAGGCTACTGATAGAGAAGGTCCCTCTATGTGTCTGCCATCTCCAAAGTGTTTGGCTAACTTCGTGTTTCATGGTGTTTGATCTTTTTGCGAGCAATGTCTGAATTACTTATGTCTCACGTTACATTCGTCGATCGCCATCACGACTTGCGTTTTTGACAATCTGGTTTATCCGAGATCAATGGTTTTATTGCACAAATTGTGGGTGCGTGTTGTTATTCTCAAAGAGCGATGCTGAGTTCTTTGGTGGGGTTGAATTGAATAGGCGGTTGAACTGAAGAGGGTCGTCCAGGATGGTGGAGAAGACGGCAGGGAGAAAAGAGGAGGTGGTCACTCGAGAGTACACCATCAATCTCCACAAGCGCCTCCATGGCTGGTAAAGTCCCTTTTTTGACTTCCGTCTTTTATCTCGCTGAGTTAGCTGTCGCGTTGTTCTGATGATTGGCAAAGTTATTTGGGAGCTTTCTGCTCCATGAATTAGTTGAAAGAATAGGATTCAGTGTATATTGAAAAAAGGGTTGAAGCTGATGGCGGTTTTCTAATCTGAAGCATTCATTGGTTGTTTTCGTGTAATATGCAATAGTTCCTCATTTGATCTGTTTCTGCCGATGAGAACATATTTTTTGGACTGATCGGGAGCCTATTTCAGTGAACTTGTGTTCTATCTGGAACGCGTTTTCATTTGCTTAAGAGCAATCATCTACTTTTCTGACCCAAAAGAAAGGCAATCATCTACTTAAAGAATTTGGGATTTCATCCTGGGGCTTTGTTGTTTGGTCGGCATTTCTAATCGGTAGATCTTGTAGTGTGAGTACAGTTGTCTTGTGCTCCTTGGCTAACGAGCATCAGTGGCCCCTTTAGTATCCTTGAGGAGTGAAACCTCCTGGAATCTCAGTTCCTACATGAAATGTGGATTTGTAGGTTTTGTTCGACTTTGAGAGTTCCTAGGAACAGAGAAGGCAGCAAATAGTTAAATCTGTTAATCGGTAATGCGATTGTGGCAAGTTATGTTCCGCCTCTAAGAACATGTCTTAAAGGTTCTTCTGTCGTTTTTGGGTAACAGCACCTTTAAGAAGAAAGCTCCCAAGGCCATAAAGGAGATCAGGAAGTTTGCCCAGAAAGCCATGGGAACCACGGATGTTAGAGTCGATGTGAAGCTGAACAAGCAGATATGGAGCAGGGGGATCCGAAGTGTTCCGAGGAGGATCAGGGTCCGCATAGCTCGCAAGAGGAACGAGGATGAAGACGCCAAGGAAGAGCTCTACTCTCTCGTCACCGTCGCTGAGATCCCAGCGGAGGGGATAAAGGGGTTGGGTACCAAGATCATTGAGGATGATGAGTAGTTTATTTTTGCTACAGTTGATTGTATTGACCCTAAATTCTGTCGGAATATCAGTTTTGTCGAGCATTTTCATTATCACATGAGCCTATGGGACACACATTAGTTGCTTGACTGTTCTTTTGCAACACTCTCGAATGAATTTCCAGTTCTGCTTCTTTGACTCTTTGCTTTCACTGGCCTTACTTAAATTCTCAGATACAACAGCAATGGGAAGAAAAATTCTCCGGGAACAAACATTCAATTATCTCTAAGAATTGTTCCAACTCATTGGTTGAATTTGAAAGTTAAGTCATGCATTTGACACTTGTGGTAACTTGATACTTATTCCTCCAAAGATGATGTACTTCCTTATGGAACTTTTTAGCACGAAGTTTTGTTGGTCTGATGCTTTTCCGGCTGTGTGAATGAGAAGTATATTGCTCCTTGAAGACTTCTCTTTGGCCTTATGCCATTAGTGGACGAGAGAGGATATAGCGGGGCTCTTGAATATGGTTAATGTCTGCAAATATTTCACATATGCTTTCATGCAAATGACTGCTGCGATTGGTGCTGCTTGTGCTTTATTTGAAAAAGATGCATTTGGACGCTGGGCTTTCTGATGTTGAATTTGGAAACAATAGGGAGCAAACAAGAAACATTCATCTTAAGTTGCTTCATATGTATAAGCAAAACAAGATTACTCATGACTCATGAAGATGAGCCAAGCAAGCAGAGGAAAAGGGAAAAGGTGCCCATTTAGCAGTGGACCACAAATTGAACTTACCTGCTTTTCCTAAAAACTAAATTCTACTAAAAGTCCATTTCCCATAAGCCTGTTGGCTTTGAGAGTCTCGAAGTCCAGATCAAGGGTTCGGAGGCTGGTAGAGAGACGAGCTCGTTTCACTTCCCAAAGTTAAAATCAAATCTACAAATGACACACTTCAGTTCGGTTCGGTCCGGCTCGTTTCAGATCATCCATGTCTAAGAAAATCATGCTTTTGCTAATCTTTTTTCTCTGTCTTAGTCTTAATTTAGATGCGACTTCATTTTTTTAATCCATTTTCTTTATCAATATGCTCCTCCTTTTAGAGTTGATAGACTCATCAATTCCCCCAATTTTGGCTTCCGATATCGATTTCTCCTTTATAAAGAACATTAACTACCCAAAAAGACAATACGTCGCCTCTCTTTCAAGTAAAATCCAACATGTCAATCGCCAAGAAATATCGAATTTCTCATGCTAAGTATTCTACATAAGGACACAAGGAGGTACTCCGCGCAACCGCAAAGCGTTCCGCTCGAATGGATAACACAAACGAAGACGATGATCGTGATGCTTCCAGAATACCTAAACGGTCTCTCATTTAAAAAAAAAAACTACACACAGTGTTCCCTGAAATGGGCCTGAAGGCCCATAAGTAGGCCTCGCGCCTTCAGGCCCAACTCATCCTCCCTGTCCTCTCTACGCGAAACGCATATAAAATCCAAAAACCCTAATTCCGCCTCTCCTCCCCCCCATCATACGAACCTCGGAACCCGACGACGCCGGCGGAAGCAGCGAAGCCCTCTCTCTCTCCCCGACACCTCTCCAAGACATGGGTGAGCTCCGAATCGAAAGCTCTGCGTCGTCTCCGATTCGGCCTCTTCTTCCGAGGTGGTTTTTTTTTTTTTATGGCGGACGATGATGTTTGAGTTCATGTTTTCTCTCTTTTGTCCGCAGGTAAGGTCCACGGATCCCTGGCTCGCGCCGGTAAGGTGAGAGGCCAGACCCCGAAGGTGGCGAAGCAGGATAAGAAGAAGAAGCCCCGCGGCCGCGCCCACAAGCGGATGCAGTACAACCGCCGCTTCGTCACCGCCGGTACCTTTTTGATTGCATTGGCTTGGCTCCGTGCATTTTCTTGATTGTTTTTTTTGGTGAATTGAATTGTTGATTTCTTGCCTTTGTCAAATTCTGGTGCGGTGTAGTTGTTGGCTTTGGAAAGAAGAGAGGCCCCAACTCGTCTGAGAAGTGAGCTAAGCTTCGTTTGGAGCCTAAAGGAAGAGTTGCTCTGTAGGTCCTGCAAAGATGGGGCTTTTTTGGGTTTCTTGTTTCTTCATTGGATTGTTATGCTTTTGAAATTTGGGGTTTGATTGCATACTCTTGGTCTTGGTGACTTCGGACTTGCTGGACCATGTTGAGGTTTTTGCCTACCCACTTGGCCATAGATAATGTAGTTTTGTTCCCTGCTGATCCTAAGTTATTGATGTTCGATGACTGAGCTTTCTCCATATGCTTTTGCTCGATACCTCGGGCGGTACTTTTACTTCCGTGCGATGTCGGTGTTTGATGTGATGTTTTCGTCCCGCGAAGGAAGATGAGTATATTCTAAAAAGCATTGGGATGTCTGGGGGATGCCGAATGGCGATTCGCCAAAACTCATGAGTTTCGTTAGGAATTGTAGCAGTTGAAGTCTATTTGTTTATATGGCGAGACGGGAGAGAATGTCTGGTACTTAACCCAGCTGGAAGCAAAACTAGTAGTAGGTTTTAGCTTACCTTGCCCAGATTGGAGAATGGTAGATGAAACATTAGACTTGACCGGAGATGGTCTGTCAATGTACCCTGATGATGAGGATGGTAGCTGGCAATGTTGCTTGTTAGGTTAGTGTTGGTGCTTGCGACGCCTGTACGGAATGTCGCATGCACGCATGTGGAATCTAGGCATGCTGGGGGGTTGAATTTGTGGTCTTGAAAGTTGAGTTGGGATGCTAGTTGAGGTTGTTTTACAGTGCACGATTTGGCGAAAACGAATCGCAAGTACATCTCTCCCGCTATTAGGACACTGTGAATTTACCCCTTTTTTTGAAATATTTCCAGTTGTTCAAACCTCTCGAGTTCTTATGAAAACAACCTCAATAACGTAAATGCACGGCTGTCCAGTGGTGACACCTCATGACGGCGAGGCAAGCGGCACGAACAGATCCTGGATATTGGCGGCGAGGTGGTCTGTCTTCATGAATGCTGTAACATAACCAAAGGTAAAAAAGGAGAAAGTGCTAATAGGTGCACTGATACTCGCTTTGGAAGCAATTATTGTCCGAGGTTCGACCATATGAGGCTTAGCATATAAGGTGATGACCGGATTCCATTACTGCGAAATTGCAATCTTCTAGCTTTCCCAAAACAACAATTCCAGCAATCGAGGCTGAGCTGAGGTCGCTTTAAGGACACAATCGCCACTTCTATGTCCTACCTCACCTTGCAGGCTTCAATGGTCAGCAAAACCATATTTACATACAGCTCCAAACAGTAGTTTCTTTCTTCCCTTTTTTGGGCCATAAATCTCCAAATGGTTGTTGGCTGTCTCAAGTTATCAGAAGCTTAAGATGAGTTCACATCAAGAAAGCGCACGCACCTTACAATTCATCATGAGAACTTTCTTTTGCTGCAACCGGCTTCTGTTGGTTCTCTAGGATGTACCGCGTGGCAAGTGCCGCATGAAGTGCCGCCCCGTATGGAAGCGCATCTTCGTTGAGTTTGTAGTATGGGGAGTGCCCAGCTTCCATCTTCCCTAGGCTCTCGTCGTTCATCCCGACAAAGTAGAAGTAAGCCGGGATCACCTCCGAATAAAACGAGAAATCCTCCGAACCCATCATTGGTTTCATCACTAAAACCTTGCACGGGCCCAGCATATCTCGCGCAATGTTCTCAAAGTGCTCGTGCAAACCTTTGCTGTTTGCCGTCACCGGGTAGAAGGACTTAGAACTGAACGAAACCGTCGCGTTGCACCTCTGCACACTTGCTTGTCTCATGATGACCTGTTACGTATTGTAACTTAAGGTGTCGTGCTATGCAAGCATTAAGATTTCTCCTAAGACTAAAAGTGGTCAAACGGTAAAAAAAACACGAAGTAAGTTTGAGACGGGGGGATAAAGGGAACATGAAAGAGCTTCGAGGCATCACTAGTTAAGCGGAGATGAAGCTTAGGCGAACCGGATGGGATCTCACCTCTTCGATTCTCTGTTTCAGTTGGAAGAAGCTGTCCATGGAAAGTGCCCTGAATGTGCCGCCTATAGTCACGGAATCGGGAATCACATTGAACGCGCCACCTCCTTCGATCTTAGCCACCGTAACCACCTGCACGTATTCGCTTTTCAAGTTGAAATACTAATCAGGTGGTCGGTAATTCAGTCATAGCACTGCCTATTAAGGATCAGATGAGCTAAATTCTATCAATCTTGGAACTAATAGGAGATTTAATTCACAACTCATGATCAGAACAGCCATTAAGTGATTCCACAACTCCGTCGGCTCATGCAAAGAAATTATTGTCACAGAGAGAAAGAGAGAACCTGCGAATCCAGTGGATCGGCTTCACGTGAAATGAGATGCTGCAGATTAACAATCACATTGGATGCTGCCACAATTGGATCTATTGTGTGCTGCCGAATCCCCGCATGACCACCCTTTCCGGTTATTACCGCCTCAAAGAAACCACATGCAGCCAAAAGCGGACCAGGTCTGGTTGCCACTGCACCAATAGGGAATTTGACGGAAAGGTGCAGTCCGAAGATGGCATTAACATTTTCCAGTGCTCCATCATCTATCATTTTCTTCGCTCCTCCGCCTCCTTCCTCAGCTGGTTGAAAAACGAGAACCACTGTCCCCTGTAAAAGAATTCATCTACTCATCAGCTCTAAGACAAGGAAAGACAAGTGGTGTACACAAAAATAAATCTCGATCCGAAGAAATGAACATTCAAGGTAAAAATGGAGTTCTGCAGAAGAGATCAAACATTCCCCCAGAAAACCAAAGGTATAGGTTTCCTCTCCACGGTTGTCTCACACACACACATGCAAAGATCAATGATTACCTATGTTGTTAGAGTTTGATATACAGAACGATTTGCAGATCGTGTATAATTATTACTAATGGAGGACAATGAAGAGCTTCTCTTACAATCCAATGCTTAATGATATTGTGCAGAACACCCAAGGCAGTCACAGTTTGAAAATTCTCTTACAATCCAATGCTTAATGATATTGTGCAGAACAACCAAGGCAGTCACAGTTTGAAAATTGAAGCTAGCCCTAGTTTTAAACATCTTTGACTCAATTCTGCAAACTAGTACTGGAAAAAGAGTGGAAGTACTGCAGTATCTAGACCAATTCCAAAAGTTGGTTAAGCACTCAGACTTAAGTCGAGCAACTGGAGAAAACAAGTGGCTCGAAAACTGTCATGAATGTTAGCACCGAAATATATCTCATTGTCATGACCGTGTAGCATATGAGATATCGGAACCCGTTGCCTGCTTTTTTTTAAGCGAAATTGCATTCCCGTCTAGGTAATTGATTACAAAGATCAAACTTCTGCTGGCGGAAGCTCACAGACCAGGTACATTGAGAGAAAAAAGAAGAAACCTGTAACTCATTCAGTAGGTTCCAGAGCAATTCCAAAACTCGGTTAAGCACTCAGACTTAAGTCAAGCAACTGGAGAAAACAAGTGGGTGGAGAACTGTCGTGAATGCATTCCCTTGTAGGTGATTGATTTTGCACATTTATTGATACGGAAGCTACAATACATCCACAACATGAGTATACGAACAAAAGCTCAGACTTCTGCTGGTGGAAGATTACAGACCAGGTACATTGAGAGAAAAAGAAGAAACCTGTAACTCGTCGCGATGACCTTGAAGCAACCTGGCCGCACCAAGAAGCATAGCAACATGACCATCATGTCCACAGGCATGCATTTTCCCAGGAACTTTGCTCATGTGCTCCCACTCTACACTCTCCTGTTGCAACCAAAAGCCGCATTATTCTCTCTCTTCGTTAGCATTAGCATCTCACATAAATTAGTGAACCAGTGCACTATTACAACAGCCAAAGCAACTGCTTATATTCAAACGAATAAATCAAGAGCATGCCAAATTCACCAAAGCACTGTAAATCAGCTCAAATTTCTCTGCATGGTCCACCACTTTTCTTTTCCTGTTCAGCCCAAGGACCACTGTTTGATCAATTATACTCGGAAGTCCATGCAAATCCACCCTTTTTCTTTACTTTTTTTTTCTTTTTCATCACATGGTACAATTGCATATTTAGGTTGACTTGTCTGTACTTTTTCGCGGGGTAACTAATTCCCAAAAAGAGGGGAAAAAAGCAAACTTTTAACCAACCTCCATTGACAAAGCATCCATATCAGCTCGAATTGCTACAAACGGTGGCTTCCCGGTTCCAATGTAGCCCACAACGCCCGTAACAGCAAGTGGGTGTTTATACTGAATACCCATCCGATCAAGCTCTGACCTTATAAGCATGCTGGTCTCAAATTCCTCGAAACCAAGCTCCGGGTACTCGTGTATCCTCCTCCTGATGCTCACCATGTAGTCCACAATCTCTGGTCTTTGAGCAAGATCGAGAAAATCCACCGGGATCTGAGCCAGTTGTTCTGGGGTCAAACCTGGTTTTGATGAACACAAACATAATCGTGGGAGGAGTATGAATTGAATTAGAAGCAGAAGGACCCATTTCGAGATACCCATTGAGTTAATACTGAGCGAGTGAGTAGAGATTGAAATCTGAGATGGTTGGGAGATCTTGTGGAGATACGGGTGTTGCTATATATTTGTATTGGAGCCGAAGCGAATGACGCTCTTTTTTTTATAGCACCGATCCTGATCTTGACGGTCATGGAAGTCTCGACGGTAGTTATCGAAAAAGATCACGACGTCTATATCAGTTGAAGACATTTAACGTAAAGATTAGCTTTGCTGCAAAGATCCTGGCAATATATGTAACAATCTGTCAAGAAGTGACAATGAATAAGTATAAGATCTCATAAGGTATCAGTCCATGACTTAGTTTAACTTTGTATTTTCATAAATTATTTAGTTAAATACTTTCCCTTTCTTGCAAAAATAAAATATGCAAAAAAAATTTCTTTAGCGGTAACATCGCCTCAATTGATGCAGGCGTAAGAGTGAGTTTGCTACTGATGGACTCCATCTGCCTGGTGAGATTTTCGATTGCATTGAAAATCAGGTATGTTGAACGAAATGTGTCGGGATGACGAAAGGCAATATTTAGTCCATACACATCCCCATGTACCGGTCCCTAACGAGATATTTGAAAGGATTTCATATCTATAAGGTAAAGGGATTTCTCTCGTAAGGTACGGTAGCCAAAATGATGAGAGACAATTCATTACTTTGCCCCATACACTACCGGTGATCCTTTGTTTAACCATTCTTGGCA